ACAAAAAGGAATTCTACAAGAACTACCAGTCAATGGTTGGGGATGAACTGCTGGCTCGTTTGCAGGAGTCCGTCACCGAGTACAAGCGTACAAGCAGCTCGGTGGAATTTACCGGTACGGGGGAGTACTATGACGAGGAGGACTTGAAGAAGCGCTATGAGGGCAAACCCGAGCAACTCAAAAACTTGCTGGCGAACACCAAGACCTACTACTGCCCTGTGAAGCAAGTGTGGCTGTTTGAAGATGTGACTTACAAACGGGTGGCGAGAGATGCTGAGGAGACTGGGCGTGTGGAGAAACGCAAAGTGCAGATGATTCCCAAAGATGATGGCGAGGCTGCCGGTAACGAGCCGGAAGAACGGGCCACGAAGAAGAACAAGGGTAATAAGAATAAGGACAACAAGTCTGGTGGCTCTCAATTGCCCAAGTTCAAGGCGGGAGAGAAAAAGAAAATGCAGAGGAAAATGGAAGGGATGACTGGCAAGAGGTTGCAGCTCTTGGATCTGTGCTGCAAGGCCAAGTCAGAGAAGCTGAAGGCGCTGGTTCCTGGCTACGTCCTCTCTGCTAGCGAGAAGATCGTTGATGAGGCCATCACTTTCACGAGTGAGTTTGAAAGAATCTTGGCCTCCGACCATGGCGATTCCAAGGACCTCTTGGAACGCATCGACCGCAACACGGAGGCTTTGAATGAGGCAGCTGCCCGTCTGAAGTGCCAGGTCGAGCAGGCCCAGGAATTCCTGACAGCTGAGGGATAAGGGAGGCTCGCCCCCAGCAGAGCTCCGCGACCATGCAGAGGCTTGCCCTGCAGATTTTGCCACGTTAGTGCATTAGTGCACTACCATTATTACATTAGCACATTAGTGCATTACAATAGCTCCAGAAACTTCACCGAACACTGCAGGGGTACTGGCAGTGCAAAAAAACAAGACCAGCGTCTTTGATCTCACAGTTCACTGCAGTGTCACGTTGACATTCTTGCAGTCAGTTGTTCCCTTTCCCCTTTCCCAACTGCTTCCCCTTGGAACTTCCCATGGGGATGTTTAACCAAATGTTTATAAGGTAGCGGTTCCTTATTTAACCTTAGCCTACCTATAATTGACTATAATGTGTTTCATGAAAGCTTACGGTGACTTACGGTGAACGAAGTATTTGGCCAGTAGTTTGGCCCACTGCCCATGTGAGATGTTTTCTTTCAAGATTGGTTTCCCTCCTGCATCCCACTGGAAACTTCCATGGCCACTGTGGCCAAAATAGTTTTGGAGTTGAGCCATTTCCTTTGTAACTGTCTCTGACTGTTTACTGGAATTTTCCCATGGATATTTATCTGGAAAATGGGCATGAAGATACTCTCACCAGAACCATTTTGAAAACAAAAAATTGCCACGGGAAAGTGATTTGCAGTCACTTTGTTCTGCACTGTTTTTTTCCATGAATTAAAAAAACTAAACTTGAAAAAAACTCATTTTTTTTTGTTTTTTTGGGGGGCGTATCAGGGCCGTATCAGAGCCGTATCAGGGCCGTATCAGGGCCGTATCACGGCGTATCAGGGGTCATTCGGGATCAACGCTGGAAAAAAAAACATTTTCGCAAATGGTAACATCCCGGGTAACATCATGGAATTCACCAGACAAAAATGTTCCATCCATTGTCAAAAACGCTGGATGACTTTACACTTCCACCAACATATATTCCCAAACAATTCCCGAGCATTGGATGCTCAATCTTCAAGCGTGGCCACCGGCAATCCCCAAACAAATGCAAATTAAAACCCAACGCTTTCAAACACGGGATCTCCAGCACGGGGGTTCTGACCCCAAACAACAGCGTCTGGCAAACTCGAAGGTACAAATCAAATGTTTCAATGTATGTACTTATATAAATGTATGATCCCAACTTAACGGCACATATGCACAAACACAAATCCGCAAATCTGAGCACAGAAAAGGAAACACAAATTGAACCAATGATATCCCAGAGGGCCCCAAAACCCTTCACCACATAAAAACATGCGTCAATATTTTTGCCCAAAAAATGCCACCTGTTTCCACCCTGCTTTTGGTCACTGCGTGAAATCCCTTTACAGCTCAACGCAATTTTGGTGCCAGAGGTTGTTTTCTCTTTCCAAAAAAGGGTGCGACCTTCCTTTCATCCATGCTTGCGAGCATGCGCATGCATAAAAATTCAGCAGTAAAACATGTCAGGTCTCGGTTGGCATCATTTTTCCCTATGTAAAGTCTTATATGTGATTGGTTGTGATAGGGTATAACCCAAATGATTATTGGAATAACTGTATCTATAGATACCAACATGTAAACATACATACCAACAGACAGACAGACAGACAGACAGACAGACAAACAGACAGACAGACAGACAGACGTACATACATACATACATACCCACCAAGATACATACATACATACATACATGCATACATGCATACATGCATACATGCATACATACATACATACATACAAATGGTGCTGTCGCAAAGCTTGCAAGCACTCAACGGAGAGGATTCGCCCTGCTACCAGGCTCAGGAGCACACGTGCGCTTTCACAAGGCTCGCCTGTGAAACCATGAGCGCAAGCAGCAACAACAAGGCTGCCTGTGAAGCAGCGAGTGGGAGGGAGGGGCAGCCTACCTCCTTGCCACATGGCCCTTCGCAAGCGCCAATGAGATGTACTTCGCCTACGCCGTCAGAGCTCAGTGCGGAGACTTTGTCGCTTGGCTTCTGGGACGACGGCAACTGCCAGGACAATGCGGCGAACCAATCTGAAGAGTGCCAAAGTGTTCCCGACCAGGCAGCTCAGATGGAAACGGACGATCCCTACTGGTACAACACCTTCCTGCATAACCCGCCCAGAGAGGTCACTATGGCATACACAGACTTCCTCCTAGCCCAGCAAGAAGGAGTGTGCAATTGCAAGTGGGTGACCTACTGTGGCAAGTGGGACTTTTGGAAGTGCAATATGCACAGGCATGAACCAGAGGCAACGAAGAACCAGCAATGAGCCCTGAGCGCCAAGCTTTTCACAATTTGTAATTACGGCAAAGCGTGAGGATTGCCCACGCTTCAATCGAGAGCAGCGTGCCCTGCACTGTGAAAAGAAGGCTGTCGACAGTCTTTCGTGGATGTCCCATTTTCCGGCTATTGCAAGTTTTCCTGTCCAAGAGCTTTTGCTCAAACCATCCAGCAATGGATTCGATGGCTGTCCCAGAGCCAAATGACTGGGCACAGCATTTACCAAAGTTGCCGAGGCTCGCCCGGCCAATGCATGTTGCGTTGCCTTGCTGTGGCATCGATGGTTCTGGCTGGGCCTTGAAAGCAATGAAGGCCAATTTTTGTTGCAACAACGTGTATGACCTGGAAGCTAGGTACAAGCAGTACTTGGAAAAGTACATGACCGAAGGCTCTGCTGCTCAACTTCACCTAGGGCCCTCTGAAGGAAATGTTCTCCAAACAGACATTTCCACATGGGAACGACCAACCCATGTTCTGCTGGCAGGGCCACCATGCCCTCCGTGGGCGGGCAATGGATGTCACCGAGGAGAACGTGACGAGCGGGCCACCGTTTTCCTCCATATAGTGAAAGTGGTGGGCGCTCTTGCCAAGTGCGGCGAGTTGCAGGCAGCATGCTTGGAGAATGTGAAGGGTATACTCCACAAGGGGAAAGACCAAAAGGACTCTTTCATGCAGCGGCTGGTCACCACTTTACGAAGTGAAATTCCCGAGTTCCTGTGGGATGTCTCTGTGCTTAAAGCAAGGGATTACTGCCTAGCGCAGGATCGAACTCGAGTGTTCCTGAGGGGGATCAGGTCCAGCCTTTGCCCTGCAGGAGAAGTTCCGCCAGTGCTGCCACCCTTTGGCCAAAGAGATCTGAAAGAATTTTTGGCCCCAGGCTTGCCTCCTGTGGACAGAAAGGCTTTGACAAAGTGTATGCAAAAGAACCTGCAGGACGCACAGGAACAGTTGAGACAGCTGCACGCCGAAGGCCAGCTGTCCATGGACGATGTGGTGTGCTACCCACTTGACAGAGCCGATGAGAAAACCTACAAGCGCCAGGTGTGTCAAAACAGAACGCCTACTCTTTTGACTGGCAACTCCTATCTGTTCATTTCCGATGTCAATGTGGATGCTCCAGATGCACAGCGCCAGTGGTTTCGCTTCTTGTTGCCCGAGGAGCGTTTTACATTGCAAGGATTCCCCAGTGAGATCTCCAGCTCTTTCCGCAGCACCGCCCTCAAGGTGAAAGCAGCTGGCAATGCGTACCCAGTGCCTTTGATTGGCGCTGCTGTGGCTGGTTTACTGCAGAAAATCACATCTCTGCCTGACACGCAGGAACCGCTGGAAGACCCCAAGCGCCTCTGCGAACAGCTGGAGGAAGTCATGTATGGTTCGGGAAAGAACAAGACAGCTCCAAGCAAGACGTCCAAGATGAAGAGGCCAGCTTCGGGAAGCATGATGGCCAAGGAGAACCCAGCTTCCTCAAGCACCGCGAAGCCGGCTCCTTCAAAGAGAGAAATCAAAAAGAAACCAAGGAGCAGCTTCAAGAAGTTGGAAAAACACAACGAGGAGAAGAAGGATGCCGGGAACCCAGCCGAAGAAGGTCTGAAAAGGCCTGCGTTGCAAGCCCAAAGCAGCAAGCAGGCGCCAAAGAGAAGCCGGACCTCAGCGTGGCGTTTCCGTGGATTTTGGACCTCCTCTTCTGACTCCAGCTGAGCGTTGCCTGTGCAAGGCTAGCCTGCGCAGTGCCAAGCATGAGGCTCGCCCATGCCCCATCCCATATCATCGACTTTCAGCGGCTGCAAAATAATGTAGCATTGCGCTCCATTGTTTGCACCCATTTGTGTCCTTGCAACTTTACATCAATTTTGGCAGCATCTTTCCCATTGTTTTTTCACCATCCACGCAATGTTTTACAGCTGTGAAGTGCGAGGCTAGTCCCGCAATAAGCTAAACGCCCAAAAGGTTTCACCTTTGGCTTGAGGGGCAAGCTATGGCTGAAGCTCGTTTCGTGGGCATGCTGGATTACTTAGAAGCCTTGCGGCTAAGCAGCTCAAAGTCTGGAAAAGACACCAACGTTGACAAACTGTTCCAAAGTTGCATGCTGGACATACAGAACGCGCCGCCCATGCCTGTCGATGCTGGCGCCCGTCTGCTGAAGAAACTGAACACAGCCCATGTGTCAGACCAATGGCGTGAAGAACTGGCCCAACTTTTGCACGAGAAGGTTGAAGCGGGAGCAGCTAAATTGGCAGCAGAAAAAAAAACAAGCGAAGGTGGAGACCCAAAGACCCAGCGATGCTTGGACCTCCACAACTACTTGACCCCCAGTGAATGGTCAGCCTTGAGAAATGAGAAAGAAGGTCTTATGACGAAGTGCAGGGTATTAGCCACAAGAATGGCTCAACTGGGTTTGAAAAACCCAACTGAACCGACTTGGGTTGCGGCAGTTGCAATTCTTTACCTGGCCTCTCACAAAGGGCCTGCCGACGAGCTCCAGTTCAATGCCAAGCAAGCGCTGAGCACTTTGAATAGTTTGAAAACTATCCTCAGAGGAATGCATGCACACCTTAACTCTGGCTTGAAGTTTTATCCATCTGATCCCTCTGAACTTGCGGAAGATCTTTTCCGCAAAGCTTATTCACAAGAGAAACCAGCACAGTGCCCTTTGGAGGAAGCCGGCTTGCATTTTCTGCGCAAAGTGCTGCCTGCCCGGGACACGCACAGTTCTGTACGCGGGCAATTTGGGAAGCCTGGCTTTTCCAATCACACACCATCGGGCGGCAGCATGGCCGACATGTTTGGCATGATGCAGACATTCATGCCTATGCTTTGCAATCAGTTTGGAGGAGGGAAGGGGTTGGACCTGCAAATGTTTCCACAAAGGAAGAAGAAGAGTTGGGCGGCTGCAGCACCATTGGCGCTGGAGGCCCCTGCAGATTCGCCTGCAGCTGAGACTGCCAAGGTCGAGCCTTCCCCTGGCGAGGAGCCAGCAGCGAGCCCAACAGAGAAGATTGAAGGCGAGAACAGTGCAACACCAAGCCTTGGAGGCTTGGCTTCCAAAGATGTTGATAAAATGGCGCAAGAGGTTCTTGCTGCGCTCGGTGAAAAGAAGGAAAAGAATGGTAAAGCAGCTGCAGCACCGGCCAAGAAAAAAACTCCCAAAAGCAAAGCGAAAGGTCCAAGCAAGAAGGATGAGAAGGATGCAAAAGATGAGGGCCCACCGCCCAAGAAGATGAAGGCAGCCCTTCCTTTTCCTGGAGAAGGTCCTGCCGAACCCTTGCACTACTGCAATGCGACCATTTACATTTGTCCAAACAGCTCTAGCTACCGAGTGAAATTGGCCGGCGAGCGGAAAGACAAATCCTTTTCCTGGAAAAGAGATAGTGCCAAAGAATGCTGGGGCCGAGTGAAGGAGCACGTGCTCAAAGTCGCAGTGTGAATGCTGAGGCTCGCCCGGCAACATGTGTGAAGGCTCGCCTCATTGCCGTGGCTCGCCCGGCAAGTGCAGTTTCTGACTTGCATTTGTTGCGCTAAAACGGTTTGCGGCAGCTGTGGCCAGCCCGACCAGCCAACATCATATGATTCTGCCCATTTCTTGGTTGTTCATGGTGGTGCGGTTCTGGTCAATGTCTTTTCTGAACGTGTTAATTGGCTTGATTGCACGGTTCTGGTCAACTCTCATGCGCTCATTTTTGGTCACCCCTCATGCTCTATTTTGGTCGCCCCTCGTGCTCCATTTTGGCAATCCTCGTGCTCAAATTTGCTTGCCCCGATTTCTCGTGGCTAAGTCCAACTAAGTCCTGTTATAAGTACTTATAAGTCCGGTGCGAGACGCCGAAAGCTAAGTCCTTATAAGTCCAACTATAAGTCAGCTAACCGGCAAAAGTGCCTAAGTGTGATTGCCCACATGACAGTGACGTTTGCGAAGCCGATGCGCTGGCAGGGTTGGTTTTTGACGCCACAGCCCCGGAAGCACCTCGCTACCTGGCAGCGGCAGGCGGGCAAACCCAGAGGCATCACTCGACAGCATCTCGAGCATTGCGGTTGGGGGTCATCTCCAGCCGCGGAGTGGCTGCGAGCATCCCAGCACGAGTTGGCCTATTCACCCAAGAAGGCGTTGTCACGTGCTTCCGCCGCCTCTTCCCAGGTACATGGTTCCAGGACTTCAAGTTCCCGATGATCGAAGACCTCCTGAATCAGGCACCGTTCTGCGAGTTCCCACGCTGGAGAGACCAGCACGATCTCAAGGCAGATGGGCCCCTGGGACCACATTTGGCTAGCGCAGCTTTGAGGCAGCGGCAACGTCATGCCGAGGGCCAGCAAGCCGGAGCTTTGAGCCATAAAGCCGCCCTACCTCCGCTTTTGAGTTTTGGGCTGGACCCGGACACCCACTTTCAGCGTGCTTGCCTTCGAAGCCAGGCACCCATCCCGACTGAGCAGTCGCCCCTTCTGGACGATGATCTATGGTTTGTGGCTGAACTCTATGCATCACGTTCCGAAGACCTACCACGACTCCGCGAGCAGAGCCTAGGCATCTTGAAGGAGCTGAAGCAGCGATGGAGGAGCGTGGGCGAGCACCTGCGGACTTTCCAAACATCAGCGATTCGGGCAGTCACCCGTTCCAGGGACATCGGACTAACAGCCCTCTTGGTGACCCTAACGTCCTGGGCGGATATCACGTACCCTTACGGCTTGGTAGCGGGACTGCCAGCTGTAGGTACGGCACCACCCTACGGGGTCTTTCCGGAGCAGCCAGGTCGTATCCTCACCATGGAGGACGTGCTCGACGACTGGGAAACCCACAATTACAAGACCCTCGCCTCGCTCAAACCCGGCAGACATGATGCCGTGCTGCTGGAGCAATCGCTGAACGATGCCGCCCAAGGTTTCTGCTCTGCACCGTTGACCCATGCGCAGCTCCTACGAGAACTACGAGGAGAACCATTCCGCCTCATCCCCCGATGTGTGATTGTACAATCCTCGGGCAAAAAGCGGATCATTGACAATGGAGATACAGGAGGCCAGTCTGAGAGGTCTTCGGATTGGAACAAGTTGGTTTTATGCTCGCCGCTGCGCCCAGCACAACATGTGGGGGCGGTCGCTTCACTGTTGACAGACGAACAGTGGCACACTCTTACGACTGCTGACGAGTGGCTGTCAGGAGGGGAAGATTGGCCGAACGCTTATCGGCATTCCCCTATCAGTCAGGCAGAGAGCCGCGGCTGTATCGTCTGCTTCTGGCATGCTGAGCGGGGGGAACCCGCCTTTCAGGTGTATTCATCCCTCCTCTTCGGCCTTCCGCTCGCGGTTACATCGTTCAACCGGTATTCCCGCCTCATTGAAGCCCTGGGCCGACGGCTTACATACAGTCTGGTGTCGCTCTATTTCGATGATGCCCACATCACGGACCTCCAGTCAGGATTCGGCTCCAGCCAACAAGCTTTCTGTCAGTTGAACTCCCTCTTAGGTACCCCGTTTGCCGAGGAGAAGAAACAGTTGATGCAGCCTACCGGTACCTTTCTGGGCCTTGATCACGACTTTACGAACCTCAGCCGGGGCTTCGTGACGTTTTGGGCCCGAGATCGATTGATTCAGAAGACAGCTGCGATGATTACCGATTCACAGGCACACAACAGCCTGTCCTCAGGCCAGGCATCCAAGCTCTACGGCATGCTCAATTTTCTCGAGCAGGGCATGTACGGAAGGTTGGGATGCGCAGGCTTGGCAGCCATTAAAGCACGCCAGACAGAGCGCAACCGCGACCTCACTCCAGAGCTTCAGCGCAACTTCGATGTGATTCACTCCATCCTTCGCCATCGACCCTGTCGCGAACTTCCTGTGAGGCCGTCCGAATGTTTGCGGTTTGTTGTAGCTTCTGACGCAGCTTTGGAGGAACCAAAGCAGGGCACAGGAGGATTTTTAATCGTCTGGCACGATCCGGTGGGACCGGTTCGGGAAGCCTTCATCGCCAACATTTCTCCGGAAGTTTACCAGCTGTGGGAGCCTGGTGACAGGCAGATAGCCCAGTTGGAGATGGTGATGATCATTTATGCCCTCACATATCGGGCGCAGACCTTTCGAGGTCGTCGAGGCATCTGGCTGATCGATAACGTCGCTAGCCTCATGTGTCTGATCCGGGGCCGTTCCCAGTCACCCGATCTGGAGCGCATGTGTGGTTTGATTCATGTCATGCTGTACGCTTTGCGTACTTGGATGTATTGGGAATACATTCCGTCTAAGAGTAATTGGGCCGACGCCATTTCAAGACTAGGTTGGTCCGATCCGTGGTGGCGAACCAACGGATTCACCCCTTTTTCCGTCTCTTGCCCTCTCTGCCTTTGGCACCTTCCGCTGCCAGCAGTGATCCGAGTCGTAGAATTTCTCTAAGTGCGTTGGGAGGATTTGAAGTGCATTGGGAGTGGTTTCCGGAGTGACCGGAAGGATACCACAAGGGTCTGATTGTGTCAGGCCTGCTGATGCAGGTAACCTCCTGCTGGACATGGCAGGTTGAAGACCATACTGGCAAGATGACTGAGAAAAAGGGATTGTGTGCGGACCACCGTAGCTACGAGAGTCAACCTTGGAAAGAAATGTAAACATGTTTCAGGTCTGGCAGGCTTGGGTGAACATGTATTCATTACTGCCATAGGTTTGAACCAACGAATGTTTTGGCTCAAGTGACTTGGCCAAAATAGCGTTTGTTCTCTCTTTTTCCCACCCAGCCCACCCTGGTGTAAGGGCCCCCGGTGGGGTCACCCTTACCCTTGAAGGGCTAGCCGGCTAGCCTGGGGCTTGCGCAGGGATCTGCGATCTGGCACAATCTAGCGGAGTGACCGCTTTCAGACCACTTTTTAAGTACCCCAGGGGGGG